TGCAACATCGTTTGCACAGGCAATCTCATGGCAGCCACTTTCCTCAAGTTTTTTATCAGCTCATTGACGACCAAGATCCATAGAAAAGGAGAAAGTACTTTACCTTGTGGGGTGTCCCTACTCACATTTCGTCGAGCACGTGTGCTACCCCATACCGTCACCATCATTCTGTCGGACAGAAGACTAAAAATAAGGTGTTCGATGTTTGATTCAACCCCAAAACCATCCAGAGCTGCATTCGGCATGACGTTATTGAAAGCTTGACACGATAGTATGCAGGTGATAGTATCCACTGACCTCTTTACAATAAGCGTGTTGCGCTCGTTATAAATGGTCCCTCGGAATGCGACTTCTTAGTTGCCAGTCTATCAGCTTCTCAAACGTTCTCTGTAATAAAAAGGAGAAGCTGATGCGCCTAAAGTCCTTGGCCGTGACGTGGGAACTCTTACCACCCTTCGAGATGAACGTAATTCTGACACACCTCCAGAAATAACTTCAGTAAATTTTCGTAGTACTTTCGGTCGTTTGAAAATTAAATCCGTGTTTCTCATTTACGTAATGTAGCAGCTTTAAACTAGTTACAAGTAGTCTAGGTATTTGAGATTGGGCATTAAGAAATTTAGCTGGGATTTCAATTTGAGGGTCGAGTTATCTAAATACTCAAAACATGGATAACTTTCTGCAGGCATTTACTGCAGGGCTTACATTTTATTTACTACCTTTGTGTTGGTGTTGATTTCAGTTATTGTTGACATACAAACATTCATATATAATTACATACGAACTAATGGCGTCGTCGCTGCTCAAGCAGCACGCCACTCACTCGCCTTATCTATCTTAATCGTGTTTGGATTCTTTATCGCGACATCAGTGGTATCTGCGTTTGTTGTTGTATGCACGTTGTGCCATAAAATTCAATTTCAAATAATCAAAATTATACTTGACGTTACGACACCTTTCCACCTTCACTTCACACAAACGAACGCCTTCGTTGGCGAACAGTTTGTTGACGCGGCGTTTCCAAGCGAGTTCAACCGCAAAGTATTTGATCTCGATTCGCAATTAATGAAATCAAAAATTTGTTAAAGTGAAACTCGATAAGCGCAAACTGAAAACAATCAAGTAAAGAAATTAAAAACACAAGTGTTTGATATTCCAGTGAAAAGGAGATTTGTCATTAATTTGCCGAGGATTATCACTGATTGCAGAGGATAAGTTGCGACAACACGACGCACATTTTGCGTGTGTGTTTTTTGTGAATTAATTGCGAGATTTCAAGAAAGATAGCAGTGAATCGTGCACGACAAGAACTAACGGCTACCGAGATAAAAGGTGGGCACATCAAGCGATGGTATCACTTCGCCGTGATTACAGACGTGACGTTAGTGCTCGCTTAGTAATTTCAAAATAAGACACCAGGGCACCATCGAGCAGTTAGACGTTAACGCCAAATGTAACAGTTTCTGCAGATTAAAACAAATGATCCAAAAAGTCTTCGCATTTTCGCTGTAAGCGTTTAGCAGACTTAGTGGCCACTCCAAAACACATACATACACATAAATACTCAAACGCCTGCTCCTATATGGACATACTCATTGATGATTTGAATTTACAGCCGCGCCATTGTTGCTTGTATAGCTCTGCGAAAGTGTGTGTATAAAAGGTGTAATTAAACACTGGTTTGAACATCTGTGAATGGACAAATGCAATAAAATGAAATTTCATAAATCAACGTTTGGTAGCGTGAAGCATTAATTGCCTGATAAGTGGACAATCAAGCCCGGCGATGGGCAGTTGTAAATATGTCGAGCACGCTGGAAGTGTAGAGTAATTTATAATTAAGTGTTAAAATATTTAAGTTAATTACTTTTGGAATTCGGCAGTCTACAAGGTAAGTTTCAGAAATAGATAATTTGTATATAAGTTGCAAGCGTCGCTTTTGGTGACTCAAAAGTAAATAAATCAATCTTTCATAGAACACTTGCGAATGCTTTAAGTAAACAAAGTGCTCACGTGTTGAGCGCTTTTCAATAAAATACATGTGTGCATACCTTAAAGGCCGATTTATTGATTGCCCTTCAGTCCGTCCGTCCGTCCATTGAGATTATAAAACTTGTTTCATATATTTTTTTTTATATAAATATATGTAATAAAATAAAAATTTTAACGGCGGTTACGTCGAAAATAAAATACAATATACAAATTAATTTGTCCATCCTTTCCATTATGCGAATTAAATTATTTTTTCTAATATTTTAAGCACTCTAAGGAAATTTTTGATCTGATTCAACTAATTATAAGCACACAGGCATATTGATATCAGAAAACGAATCTCTCTGAGTTTCTATAATATATCCCACAGATTGACCGATATATTCGATAAAATATATTCAGTACCATATATTTGGTACCTAGGGGAGCTTGAGCAGTTTTGGTTCGATTTGAATCATTTTTGTTCTTAAATTGGCACACTTTAAAGTCAGCATTCATGCAAAGTTTTATCCCTATACAATCATTGTTGCTTGATTTGTGTACTGGAAAGTGAAAGATGAAAGATCAAATTGATTTTAAAGCTGTGTTATATAAGAAGTAGGCGTGCTTGTAGTCTGATATCGTTTTTACACTGCGGTATAATATTGTAAGAATAATGCCACCTACCGAATTTGATTAAAGTCGGTCAAGCGGGTCCCGAGATAATTGTTAAATTCCGTAAAGTAAATATTCCATATGAAGGAAATTGTAATTATAATACAAAACGTAGGTAAATTATCTAAGAAATAGCAAATGCGGATTTTACGTGCTCCACTGTTTGCGAAGCGGAAAGAATTGTCCGGGTCATTTATTGCCTGCTACCATTAAAATAAAGTTGGAAGTAAACATGTGGCCCCGTTAACCGGAGAATCAAGAAAGCCCAAAATATTTGCTAAATACTCGGCAAATCCAAAATCCACTCGTAAACATGTGCGCCTTGCTGTTAAGAGAGGTTATTTAAATATGAAAACAATCAAAAAAGCTCTCCCGCTAAATTTGTTGGCACCGAACTCTATCTTCGTATTTATTATGCTGTGGTGGAAGTATTTACAGATCAACTCTAAATTAAAACAACTACAGAAGAGCTAAGTTCGGTTGTAACCGAATATTTGGCGCTTACGTGAACAAAACTAATATACTCTCTGTTTTTCACCTAACGTTTGTTTGTATCATAATGTAATAATTTTTATAAAAAAAAAGCCATGAAGTATCGTTCTGTTTATCCACAACAGTGCGGTTTACCTAATCAAAACAGGCCAGAATTTTTATTCAGGAAAATACTTGCAACGTAGAAAAATTCCCTTAAATAATTTAGTCAATGCTTTCAGCCACTGAAAAAACAACAACATAGGCATGAGCAACATCTCTATTGTCGTCGGAAGTTAAACATATTTATTAGTTTTTTCTACAAAAAAATAAATTGTCTGCCTTTTCTTGGTGTTAAATGAAAACTGCGTTAAAAATGTCAAAATTCGATTTAGTATCCAACATAGTTGCTATCGACTATATGGCCATCTTCGAACTTTTCGATAAAATCTTCTCCATCGAGTATGAAAGCGGAACGGTATGCTGAGCGCAGCAATTCATGTTTTTGTAGGTTAGTTTTAACTAGTTCAATTCTAGTGCCTCCCTTCATATAAACTTTGGTAAAATTTTCAGTGTGCTATGCCAGGTACTACTTAAAGAACAATTACGCAATTCCGCAATTTTGCTATGCTTATCACCAGTGCGCCATAATCTGCATTGTTGAACGCTTTAAAGTAGTCAGTGGGTTGGAGAACGACGTTAGGCGTGCATATGCAAACCCACCTCCGATTCCCTGCCAATTTGCACACATTATCCATTGCCTAAAGTTATATAAGTCCCCTTTGTTTAACTTAAATTAAGCTTATAAGTGGCTACATATAAAATATAATATTTTAGGGCGCGTCCCAGAAACCAGCAGTAAATGAAATGTGTGAACATTTACTCATACATACATACGTACCCATTCATTTAAAGTAATACACACATAAAGTGTGCAAATATTCCTCTTGCAGCAAGGGTTTTTGTTTCCATTCTAACGTATGTCCCCCGTTGGCATATGTTTTGTGTAGAGCAAGGAGTACCAGCATCTACTTTATGCACTCAAGCGATGTAAATATAACATATACGCTTTGGGTGTTGAAACTTTCAATTTACTGTGACCACCTGCCGCTCTAACTGGGTAAGTTTAAGTGCTTACAGCATCGCCAATAATACCTTTGTTGGAAATTCAAAAATATGTGAAATAAGTGTATTTCAGCTCTTTTATACAGAGTGTATTTAACATACACAAACATTTAAATCGTTTTCTCATTTTATTCTATGAAATTTTTAAATAATTGTTCCTAGTATTTTTGGGTTTGTTTGGTCAACCTAAAGGTTGAAATCGTGTACGATCGATTTTTTATGACATCTACCTAAAAAAGGTAATACTTGTAACGTCGAAAAGTGCCCTACGTAGGCCAATAGACGTTTTTTAAACTTTTTCAGTCCCATGATTCGCTACATTGGTGTGATCCAAAGTTCTTATAAAACAAGGTTTTAGTAACTAGTAATTCAGTTTTTTTGATATCTATTTGAAATATGAAATTTTGCAGTTTTTGGAAAACTATTTTATTTGACGAGATATCTTCACGAAATTTGGCACGGATTATTTTCACAGATAATGGAGTAATCCACGAAGAAGTTATTTAGACATATAGAAGAAGATAGACTATAGAAACTATAGCATAAAGCATAAGATTTTGTATTTGTGAAGGGTTTTCCAGCTTCGATGCAACCGAAGTTACCGTTTTTTCTAGAAATTGTAAATGCCACCATTTTGTCAAAGTGAGTTATTTTAACTAATACATATGTTTATTTCTATGGTATATTGATTTGAAAATTATTATTCAACACATTTTTTATGAAATTAATAAGTTAAAATAAATATCTATTTATTTCAGATAAAAAAAACATATTTAAAATTGGTTACACACCCTAGAAACCATGGAAGCACACAGAGCGAACGAAGATAACTTTATTCGGAGACCGCCTCCTCTCATATACTACACGGCGTCTACACCCAACAGCGCCAATATTACACAGTCGATTTTAGATCAAAGACACAACACCGTTACCAGTTCCGTTACTGAAGTTTTGGAGATTTCAAATTCATCGACCGAAGAGTGGACACATTTCTACGATCTTATGCTGTCCTGGCAAGGCATTTGTTTGATCGCAATTTTTTGTGTGCTCATCGTAATAACAATGCTGGGCAATACATTAGTAATAATGGCGATTATAACCACACGACGCCTGCGCACCGTAACAAACTGTTTTGTAATGAGTCTGGCGGTTGCGGATCTTTTGGTGGGCATTTTCGTTATGCCACCTGCGGTAGCCGTACATTTAGTGGGTAAGTAAGGAGTTATTACATCTATTCATTTGTAATAGGGAATCATTTTATTATTTATTTTATTATTTTGTTGCAGCAATAGTAATTAATAAGACCTAGCTCGAAATAACATGGGGGTTTCATGGAAGTATTAAACTTGTTTATCAAATAAAACAAAAGCTACATTTGGGATATAAAAATAATGCTTTGCGAATTGTATTATATAATATTTATTGCTAACACAGAATTTGGGTCACATGGCACTCCGCCTGTATTTTATGAAAAGCTGCCGGTCCAATTATACACCCCTTTATCCAGTATAGCGTGCTTTTTCTAATAATTTGTGTAAATATACTGTCATAAATGTCAAGCACATACTAAACTGACAGCTGATTTTACAACTATAAATTCTTTTATTTAAAGAAAAATCTTCGCTGTAACATTTGAATAAGAAAATATCAATCTTGATAACCTTGTCTTCTAACTCAATTTCCCGAATTTCTATCTCTTTTTTCTGCTTAAAACTTTTCTTGCCCTTAAATATTGCCAGGGAAAGTTGTCAGCTACTTTTTGTCATAACACTTCACTTTTCTCCCATAATGACTCAAATATTCTTTATGTAAGAACCGCATTAGTTTTATGCTGGAACCAGTCACCGACATTCCGCCCTTCCGTACATGATCACATTAGGGAGGGGCATCTGCAGTTTAATTTTTTTTTAAGTGTCAAATCTTGGGATCTAAAGAACCGATTTTAACAAAATTCGGTATATAACATTTTTTTCATATTTCTATGTTATAGTGCGAAATCGGATTACAACCACGCCTATTTCCCATATAACACAATTTTAAATTTCATCTGATTGTTTTACTTTCCACTATGCAAATCAAGCAACAATGTTTTTATCGGGGTAAAACTCTGCGTGAATAATGCGTACAAAGTATGCCACCTTGTGACCAAAAATTGTCTAAATCGAACCAAAACTGTTGAAGCACCTAGGTACTGAGTATGTGAACCCCAGTGCCTACAATTGAATTTTTACCGAAAATATCGGTCAATGTGTAAGATATATAATTGAAATTCATATAATAAAATAAATAAATGAAACTCTCGATAATAGTATTTGTCAAAAATTAATTGAATCGGTTCAATACTTCCTATAGTCTTATATACTTCCGGGTGACTTTATACTGAATTAGAATGAAATTAGTATATACCATGGTCTAAACCTCACACCTTTATATAATATAATGAATTCCGATTATCTGGTTGAGGTTTTCCACATAAGCTTATAACATAAAATTTAGCCACTTTGATCGAGTTAATATCATATTCATTAATATGTACATCTCACTTCAAGATGTTTCTTTTTTTTTAATATAATTTTCGCTCACGCGAACGAAAATATAGCAATAAAACTGAGACTAAGTTTATGACCTTTAATATAGAAGATACCGAATTTTATTGTAATTTAAACACGATTTCATTTAATAATGGAAGTTTACTTCTCCATTCCAAGAAACATGTGTGCCAAGTTTCATAAAGATATCTCAATTTTTACTCAAGTTACAGCTTGCACAGGCGGACGGACGGACGGACCGACAGTCCCCCGGATTTCAATTCGTTTCTTCTTCCTGATCATTTACTTATACATAACGCTATATCTAACTCGATAAGTTTTAGGTGTTACAAACAACCGTTAAGTGAAGAAAACTATTATACTCTGTAGGAACAGGTTGCGAGAGTATAAAAATAGTCTACCTATTTATAAATAAATGTATTTGTCTGTAATTAGGAGATAGTATAAGAATATTTCAAATAAATTTAAGTTAATTTTTAATTAGTTCAAAATAACAAGACTGGTAATCCTGCGTTGTAAGAGAGCAATCACCTAACTGCTAAGAGCAATCAGCTATCTCGTTTCTACAGAAAAATTCAATTTTCACGGATATCCCACCGTACTGTGGTAAAAACGGACGGTAGAAGAGGTGGTGAGTGTTCGTTTGCATTGCGCTTTCATAAGAAAAGTTGTATCAGCTGATTCGGTCGGTTTTGCGTCGGTGACTGTTTCCAGCATTAGTATTCGTTTATATGTGACCCGTTATATATATGTTGTCCCATATGCTGTTAATAGTTAGTTATAATACAAATTGCTACTAAAGTTGGAGATTTTCGAATCCAATGAGCATTTGTGCGTAGTAAAAGACTCCGCGCACTGAAAGGACCTGTATTAAATGGTAAGCAAGTGCTACAATTTTGAAGAAATTTATAATAATACTTATAGTTCCATAATTTCATAACTAAATAAATCTCATTTCAAAAAAAGCACACAAAACAACGAATTTAGAAACTTTCTAATTTCGTTTAATCAAATCGAAACAAATTCAGAACCGAAAATATGAGATAATTTATCACAATTTAAAGTATTTTGCCACGACTTTTCGACTGTATACCTGTGTTATCTTAAAATGATTCGCATGTTTTTATCTAATGCGTAAAGTGAGGAAAATTTCCATAATATGTAACTGTAACGCATGGTTTGTGTACACAAACATTAAACGACAAACGCAAGCAGTGCAAAGCAAAAAATGTTGAAATAAAAATTTTAATGTCGTAGAATGTGGTCCAGCATATGTGGTATTGCAATGACATTTCTATGGTCAAACACTTGAATTGCCTCATTTTTCCACATACCTAAAATTGTGTTGGAAGTAATCTCAGCTCGTCAAAAAGTATTAAAAAGCTTGGCGACACCATTTACATATACATATGTACTTTTATGAGGTGGCCAAGTGTATGTGTGTGTGTGTGCCTTTAGTAGAATTCCATATGGAAAAGCACATAAAAAGCGTATGAACGCCAAAATACATACATACATATATGAAATATAATAAAATTTAATTGCTTCTTTTCACAAATGATCACACAAGTATTTTCGCAAAGAAATAACGCCTTTTTACAACCCATTAATAATAATGAAATTTGTATGCGAACCAAAAGGCATATTTCCATATGATTTTGCCACCATAAGGGCGATTTTAGCTGTGTGAAATTTACAGCTAAATTAAGATTAATATACATAGGTGCCCTTGGAAAGCACACGAAACGTTGAGGCTGTTTAATTCATTGACTCCATTATTCTGTTCTAAAGAAGGCGAAAATGAGATGGAGTTTTAGTAAATTGGTTTTAGACTGAAAAAAAGAGATTCTATAGAAGTTACAAGAAAGCATAATGAAAGTATAGTACATATTGATTAAAATCTCCTGAGAAATACTAAGGAAAAAGAAAACCTGTAAACTCTTCACCACTGAAGATGGCATAGAAAATATTGTTGAAAAAGTTGTCCATGCAAGCACTTGATTCCGATAGTTCAGTTTGTATGGCAGCTACATGGGTATATACTATAGTGGTCCGATATCGATATTAGGGTATGATTACTAATCCTAATCTATATGAAATTTATTTTTCTCAAATCCGTAGTTCAGAGAGCGAAACATGTTCGTAGCTTGCCTTAAAATAGTGCATCAGATGAACCTAAACACTTAGTATATATGTATGTATGTCCTTTCCAATAGATTGCATTCAGTAGTCTTTCGCTAAACTATTGCCATTAAATTAAAAACATTCTTATACCATGTTCAAAGAAGTCAATAAGCCGAGTCTGTTAAGTTATTAATCAATTCATGCTTCAAACAGTCACCGACATTCCTCCCTTCCGTACTTACCGCCCGTATCAAACGAAATTTGTCAAAAGTTATGCCCGTATTTGCAACGCAGAAATCAGCTGTGCTCTTTTGTTTTTATTTTACAAATGTTGCCATTGTTCTATTTGTATACACGATTTTTGACACATTTAGGTTTTTGGTTATAATTTTTCTTAATGCAAAAGCTCAAAACTAAAATCCAACTATTATAAATTATTTACCTATTTATAAATAAATGTATTCGACTGTGATTTTGAGTTATTTTAAGAATATTTCAAATATATTCAAGTTAATTTATTTAATTACTACAAAATATCGAGATTGGCAACCCTGCGTTGCAAGAGATTGCTCTCTCACTCTCAAATCACTCGCTGTTACGGGAAAAATCCAATTTTCGCGGATATTCTACCGTACGGTATGTTGAAGCGGACGGTAGAAGCGGAGGTGACTGTTCATTTACATTGCGCTGTCTTCAGCTCTTCACGGTTTTGCGTCGGTGACTGTTTAAACTATCAGTCATTAAATATATAATACTAAAAAAACATATTTTTTGTTGCTTTGTCTAGCAAATTTTAATGTTTTCAAATGTTCAGATTACGGCATATTCATGAAAATATTGAATGTGCTCTTGTTTTCATGATTATTGCATATCTAATATTTCTAAGATTATCGGCTTGTTAGTAGTAAAAATTTAGTTTTTCAGTCACGATAAGGTTTCAGCGCAGCTTTTTTGTGCATACAAACATTGCGTGATCTTCCATTGGTTTCTTCAACTTCAGGAATAGGAAAAAGTCGCAGGGACCAATTACGACCCGTTTGAGCAAACCCGAATCGTTGTTGATGTCATTGAACAACTCCAGAGCGATACTAATGCGACATTTAGCAATTTCGGAACAAACTTCGTTACCAGACATTGCATTTAAAAATGTTTATAATTACAAAATTAGAAATATTATTGTTAAAAATTAATCTCTTTCATTATCTCAAATGTTATCAACTAACAACTTTGAAAATTACTAATTTGATGCAAACTGGAATATCAAAATATAATTAATAACAAATCGAAGAAAATTAGTATCAATCATTTTCAAGTTTGGAAGTAATCCACGGGGTTATCCTTACACCGCAAATAGTGTTTTCGTTTTTATTCATAATATTTTATAACTAATGTAGACTTTTGCCACAGCAACGCGTGGACTGGGTCCTCTAGTATATTGTATTTATAAATATAATATAATATGCTAAATATTCTAAAAAAATATACATCTGCTGCTATTGAATAATAAGTTTTCAATTAAGAAATAAGAAATTTGAAAGAAAAATTAGGAATTTGATATTATTAGTACATAATTATTGATAAAATGGACACTGAATTACTATAGTTGCAATTGTATTTGTATTCATCAAATTATTGTTAATTAATTAGCATATGTTTGTTCTTTCGTTTGCTTATCCAAATAACTGCAATTTACCCTTCACCTTTACTCAAGGCTCCTGGCGTCTCGGTTGGATACTTTGCGACATTTGGATATCGCTCGATATATTGCTTTGCACCGCGTCCATACTCAGCTTGTGCGCCATTAGCGTGGACAGGTGAGTTGCCCCCTCCATGCAGCCATTTCACTTGCGCAATGGTCCCCAAGTTATAGCTCTATTCTAGTAATCCCAATTGTGTTTTTGCCTCCCGTATACAGATACCTGGCCGTGACAAAACCGCTGAAATACTCACGTAAACGCCGTTCGAAACGCTTGGCGCTGCTAATGATACTCATTGTTTGGATGGTGGCACTGGCGATAACTTGTCCGCCTATGCTCGGCTGGTAAGTTATGTCATAATAAATACATTAAGCATTAAGTGAATATGGCGACGCGCCGGCATATGGATGGCATTCGAAACTCCGTCACTGCAAAGTGCCTCCGAGTTCTTTATTGGTTGCCATCATTTTTTGCTTTTCAACCAAATTGAAATCTTATTGCTGATGCCCATGTAATTTTATCCATATTATTATAGGTATGAGCCGGGACGACGTGACCGAAACGAGTGCCGTTACAATCAAAATAAAGGATACGTCATATATTCGGCCAGTGGCTCCTTCTTTTTGCCAATGATTGTGATGCTTTACGTTTATGCGCGTATTTCCTGCGTCATCGCATCGAGGCATGACAAACTGATGCACACCAGCGTGCATTGCAAGGTAATTTAATAAGTAGTGGTGTGCAATAAACAGAAAACTAGTTAACCAAATTCAATTAGGCAATTATCAAGAAGGCCAATTTAGAGCAACTATTGTACTTGGTTTTGTACGCTAAACTCGAGGGGACAATTTATCAAGGCTGTACCTCCAAAACTATTACTCAGATCAACTTGAGCATTTAGAACGGTATTCTAGAGATAACATTTTTATAGAATTAAAGAAAACAATAAAAATATTGATTTTTTGAAGCTGAGAAACCCATGTAACTGCTTAAATTTGTTCGGCCGATTGCCAAGCTGAGCTTTCGAAAAAAAGTGCTTGTATGGAAAGCTTATTCATTTGATGAGATAATTTGACGAAATCTTGCATGGAATATTGTCAAAGGCAACGGTGCAATCTCCGAAGAAATTGTTCAGATCGAGTTACTATAGCATATAGGTGCATAAAACCTGAACAATCAAAATCAAGTTCTTGCAAGCAGAAGTTTTTATTTGTGAAGGGTATTATAGCTTCGGTGCAACCGAAGTAAACGTTTTATTTTATATGAATCTATTTAAAAAGACATGATGAAGAAGAAGAGAAAAAGATATTTAATTATTAAATTTTGCGCAAAGTTTATTATTAATTCCGACATAAAACGCTACACAAGCAACCCTCGTCCATGAACAACTTTCCTTAACACGCACTTTAAGCTTATAATTCGATGCAAATTTAATGCGTTTGACTTTTTTCCATTTTTCTTTCGCGCAGCGATTCAGACGTTACACTACCGTTGATAACTACAATTATGCAGAGCAGGATTTCTTCGAGTTGACACGCGAGAAGGCCCCAGAGCAGCGTAGATTTTCCAATCAAACTATCATTAATGAGCTAACTGAAGTCATGGTGCCCGATATAGAACACATCAGACCTCTGCTCAACTTACCAAAGACGAATAGCGGTAAGGGTAAAATCAACGATTTGACACGACCCGTTTCATGGAAAACGCAACCAAGTACGGTGTATCAGTACACGTCCAATGGCAAACGGCAACAGTACGCCCACTCGTGTCCGCCTGGTACGATAGCACATATGCAGCAGCCACGCGGGTCTCAACCGCAACAACAACAACTGAGATCCTTGGCCAACTGCATAATTTCGCTGAGGAAAGAGCACAAGACTACACAAACGCTGAGCATTGTGGTTGGCGGCTTTATTGCCTGTTGGCTACCATTCTTCATTTACTACTTGCTTACACCGTTTATAGAGCCGCGAAAGGTCAGCCTGGCCCTTACGCATGTGCTGACCTGGCTGGGCTGGCTGAACAGTGCCATAAATCCCTTCATTTATGCATTCTATAGCATCGACTTTCGCGTGGCCTTCTGGCGACTCATCTGCCGACGCTTCTGCAGCAACATTATGCGACCGCAAATGCCCACCACCACTACATCGATGCGGTTGTAGGCGCAGCGCTCAGTGGAGAACCCAGCAGATGGGCGCACAATCGAAAGTCAATGGGCATTTTTGAGCAGGACACATCTGTGTTGTCATTGTTGTACACAAACTGATTTGACACACATACATATGTACATATATTTAGAATTATAAGCTGAAAAGCGTTTTATTGGTGGTGCATGCATCGGACTATGTTTATGTGTAAGATGTGCTCCATGTTCGTATATACTTGTATGTATGGTATATGTCTTATAATATCTAAGGCTATTAGTCAAGCATTGTGCTCAGCATCCATGTGAAGAGACTTTTAATATGGACGGATCGATTGAGTTGTTTTATAATCGCTAAGAAAGGTTTACCTGGTCAATTTACCTATTGTAGGGTCGCATTTTTGCACGTATATCATTGTGTGTGGTATATGGTATATGTACAGAATTCTCTATTTATCCAGCTACTTGTCTTACACTGACCCAATGGGCAAAAAATGCGACTGTTGGTATAAAAGCCTCATCGTTTCGAAGAACATTAAGCCGTTCCAAATGTAATTGTATTTACTCTAATTAATTAATTTAAAACAAAACATATTTGTTGCTTTTATATATAAAATATATATTATTTATGAATCAGTTCATAATTTAAGTATTTTGTTATACATATAACGGTTGTTTTTTAGACGTGTGGTTTTCTATGGGACAATACTCTTTTCTGAGTTGTCTTTTTGACAGCTGTTTCTTAATTTAAACTCAGTTTGGTTTGCCATTTCATAACCAGACCTACTTCGGAACAAGATTTGCAAATCGTGCAAATTTATTACCAAAATTATGCTACGATTCGCACAAAGCATCGCGCGTTGCGTCCAATACTCCGATTCCCCAGCCACACATGGTGAATAGCCGCAAAACGAGATGGCTACCGATCCCGATTTTCATAAGAAAATTTTGTTCAGCAATGAAGCTCACTTTTTGTTGAGCGCGTACGTTAATAAACAAAATTGTGATGATAAGCCACAAGCCATTGTTCAGACGCCGTTACATCCTCAAAAAGTCTCTGTTTGCTGTGTCCTTTGGGCGGCGTGAACCTATATTGCTTCAAAAATGAAGTCGGCTATAATGATTCAGTCTATGGGGAGCGCTATAGAGCCTTAATTAATGAGTTGTTCCTGCCTGAACCCGGTGATGTTGATATGGGCGACCTTTGGTTCCAACAAGACGACGCTTTATGTCATACAGCCAATGAAGCAATCAATTTATTGAAGAAAAACTGCAAGATCGCTTGACTATTTTTTGTGGGATTATGTGAAGTCGCTTGCCTACGCAAATAACTTCAGAATATTATTATTATTTCTTTTTGAAAACCACATGTCTAAAAAAGCACCCTTTAATATATATTCATGTGTGTACTGCAACTCTGAAAATATTCAAGTAAACTATTTTATCTGAAAGGGTATGTTATAGGAAGACCAAATAAACACACATATTGTATATGTAAATATGTATATAAGTCCAAATAAACATGTGTATGAAACCATATATGTTATTCTATTTAAATATACTTATTAACTAAATACTGTGTATTTAAAAATAACTAAATTTTAAGATTTATAGAAGTTATTAAAAAGGTCTTACTTTTTGTGATGTCACTGTGTAATAATAATGAATGTATTTGCGTTTGTTTTATTTAACAATAAACTAGAATTGTATTGCTGTTTATTTAAGTATCGCATATATATAATTATGTAATAAACAGCTGAACTGAGTTCATATTTGAAAGAATTAAATCAAATCATTCCACTTTATATAAAGAATGTAAACATTTTTTGTCGCAGGATTTGCATATTATTTCTATTAAAAGTTTAGGAAGGACTAAAATCAGGCGAAAAAAATTCTAGTGTCGTACAAAAAGTATTTGCGAATATCTTTTACGTTTCCAAGGAAAATATCAGATTTTTTATCAAATCTACTGAAATGCTGGATAAGGCTTAACTTGATTACCACTCGGCAGCGTAATGGCCCTAAAAATGGCCTAAGTGTGGCCACTTGCCGTCTGGCGCTCATGGGCCTCCCTTTTCAACCAACCAAACTTTATACTTATACCCACTTTGTGTATGCGAGTACATTTCTATTTTTCAATTTTTTAAATATAATTATTTATGAATGTGTTTAAAAGACTTTCTCTTACGACTTAAAATGTATATGCCAAATGAATGAAGAACTTCAGTCAGCTATTATAAAACTAACATAAACCTCCGTTGCTGTCGTTTGTGAACCTAGGCAAACCCCTACTATTGCTGCCTGAGCAAGAATTTCAACAAAGACACTGCAAATCATTACACAGAACCGCATGACTGGAATATGCTCAGCATATATGTATATGTACATACACACGAGTTTGTATGTATGTTTCTTGTATGACGGTAGCTAGACCGTGTGGGCGGCATAGCATGCGCCATTTTCACAGGTTAAATAAACATTACACTCTCCTTAACATCATTTTTCTTTCAACTCGATTCATTTTTGCATTAGCGAGTACATGGCTAGATATGCCTTGTGACACAAACATCGCAACGTTAGTATAGCGGCAATACACAGATGTTTTCGAAATAATTACAACACATACATATGGACATACTTACGTGTTCCTTTTGTATGTACATAGGTATACCGGCACCTACGCATGGTACATTTTGCACCTGAAGAGCAAATATTTTATATTTACTTAGTTAAATAGAGTAGTGTCCAATCGCGATTCCTTGCTATTATTGATATCTTTTCGAGATGTACTTGTACAATAAAATGATTGAAGAGTTATTTCAAAATTACTGATGGCTGATTAACTGAAGTTGTGACAGACTGAAGTTAAAGAATCATTTAAATATATTGGTAATGCATATGGGTGTTTGCCTGAAAGATAATATGGGCAAAGCCTTAACCAAGTTAAATCGTCCATGGAACCATAAAATATAAAGCTTTTGCGAAGCTATTACATTTAACAATTGATTGTTAAACAATTGATTTAGCGCATTAGATCTGTAAATTTGATCCAGGCGTTATACTGATGGCATTATACATAGATTTGAATTCTTTTTTTTTTAGTTATTGTTATTTGTGGGATGTAGCACTTTGAATGACGCAAGCTTTGGTATTTAAAAAAAAAATAAATTGATAATAATGAATTTGAATGAAAAATTCACCATCAACAAAATCGACAATAAATCGACCTTACCATTTCTGGGGCAGGTAAGTGCGGCCCAGGGACTAGCTGAAAGTTAAGTTTCCAGGACGCCCTTTTTTGCAGAGTATCGCACGCTTTTTGCGGGAAATGTGAGAGAAACGGGCGAATCGTAACGGGCATCGAATCCGAAGGTGCCCGTAAGAGCAGGAAAAAGAGGTGAGGCAGACTGCCTTCTCAACCAGCCATTGGATTTCTCGGTAGCTCTGACGACCCTTGCAGAGTGGGCATGAGCAATGCCAGCTTGGCACTACCTTAGGCGCCTCCAGGATGGTAGTACAGGTACAGAACCATAGTAATAAGATATGGCGGAGAAAGCTAGTGTGGACGAGAATATGGTGGTGATGAGGTACCTACTCACTCCGACATCACCATAGTCAAGCCAGTCATTACTGCTGCTGTCGCTCAGAGCAAACAGGATGTGGAGTTACCCTATACCATAGGTTGAGAGAACAGAGTGCTGGTAAGGCCGAGGACAGCGAGGAAGAAGAGCAAGTTTCCCTCAGATGACTTGAACATTCTACTTATACAGGAACCGTGGAGTTATAGAGAAGAAATAAACATCCTCATGACAAAGCCAAATAAGGTAATCTGGGATCCCTCTAGCAAAAGAGCCAGTTCTTGTATAGTTGTGCGGAACGATATAGATTTCTTCTAAAATTCAGGTTCTTCAGGAAGGTTCCGATTTCCTTCTTGCAACGGCCTACTGTCCTGGAGGAACACCCTCAGTCCCTCGTGGACTACCGCAGGCTGAATAAGTTCCGCCTTATAATGGGATGTGATGTCAATGGGCACTACATAGAATGAAACAGAACGGACATCGACACGAGGGATGAGTCTCTTCTTGAATTTATTGTTAGTAGCAACTTAAATATTATACTACGAATGTAGGTTGTGAACCCACTTTTGTCGTTAGTACTCGAAGGAGGTCCTTAACATAACAAACTTATGAGCTGCTGAACTGATCTCACAATGGAGAGTGTCACCAAAGCCCATCCTGTGAGATCATAGAATCATAAGGTTCCCACTGAAAGTATAGTTCAAGCTCCTCCCGCCGACACGTTTCCTCAGAAACTGATATATTGTTGTATTTAGGGACACCCTAGGGTTAAATGTAAGAAAGTAGGGTAGCTAGGTAGCAATGCTATGGCTCCCGAACTGAAGAGAAGACGGTCTGCAACAAACTAGTTCATTACGGACACTTATCGTTGCAGCTGTCCACTAAAGTCCTTGACGTCGGGCCAACTGACAGCGCTTAGGAAATCTGTTCTTAGACCATTTGACAAAGCGAAATGTACTGGGAAGGAATGTAAACTTCACCTTACAACTGATATACAAAACAATTACTCATAAACCCGTGAAACAAAATAGTTTTAGAAACTTCTGTGTCAACGTCTCCTCAAACCCAGTCAATAAGTCAGAACGCTCAGATTGGGCAAGTGGGCACTGACTTCCTTCTTGATATATAAGTCTCCGGGGCGGATATAATATAACGCATAAAAGCACTAGAAACGAGGAATGTTCTGGCTAAGTACGCATATTGATATAAGCTGTACTAAATACCAAGATAGCTGAGACCACTGTAGGAGAAAGGATGCCCTCAGGGCGGAGTACTGTTTCCCTTATTATGAGACCTCTTGAGTTGTTAACTAACAATTGGATTCGTTGTCAAGGGTACGCCCACGACATTGTTTTATTAGCATTATTATATGTAAATTCGAGAACACTCTTTCTGATATCGCGCAAAAGAGTTTAAGCCTAACAAAGAGATGGTGCAGTACGGTTACTATGTATAAAGTATCTGTTCCGCGGAAAGGAGAAAGTGGCAGCAATATACAGGCATGTGTCAGGCACTATTGCTAATGGATACAGCCTCTTGGGCAACTGCCGGTGTTGTGGCCTGGGGCCGGAAACTCCATAACTCCTTATTCCTGGATGTATATATCCGAAAAGCGAACACATCGTTTCAATAGCGCCTAAGAGTACCGCCTAATGCTTAATATATATGTACATATAAACTGAATCAATTCGAAACAAATTATTTAAATTTCTCAAAAGTCTTTTATTAAATTCTAAAATTTGCTTTAAGTTTTTAAAACTTCTTTTCAACTATACCGAAATATACATAAAGTGGCATTATATCGTATACCTTTCCTTGAATCTCCACCCAAAAATTGTCCATGTTAACTTGATTTAATATATGCGTACGCATCTGCAACTCGTGCTGAAAGTTGAGACGGATTGCAGCCAGGAATTGTCTCGTAGTTTCACTAGGGTTCATGTGAAATGTCGAAGCTAAAGTGAAATCAATGCCATGTACCTTAGCAGCTCTAAAAACAATAACAAAAGCATTTGTTTGATGGCTATCGTTGTTGGTTATTCCTTCGAGTTGACGGCGCTCTGATGTCAACAAGGCAAACTCAATTTATTAAAGTAATTAATTCTATTAAGTTAATAAATGCCAAGCAATACCGGGCAGGCAGCCAGCCAGAATGCCAACACGTAAGCCAAGAAAGGAGTGCATTACATCGCAACAAAAACTACATGAAAAATTGCTACAACTACAATTATGACTGTGCACTTACATCAGTTCAGTGGCTCATCGTTTGTGTGTGTCTTCGCATGTTTACGCACAGCGCCAGGGACAACACCAGCCCATAAAATCCCAATGAGCCAGACAGCTTGCCATCAGTCCCCGCTTTATAAACAATGTGGCAACACGTTGCGGTGTCCGCTTGCAAATATATTCATGCAATTTGTTGGCACAAAAATATACAGTCAGCCTCAAAAGTACGTGATTATTGGACGCAAAAACGAGATTTTTCTGACGCAGTTCGTGACAGGAAAATACATAAGTTCACGATGGGGAAGTTCGAGCAGAGTAAGGCTTTGCTTATAATTACAGTGAAAGTTTGACAGTTAGTTTCGTTAATCATGCATCGTGCCGCAAACGTGTACTCCACCATTACTGACTTCTATTAAAAAAAAAAAAATTTTCCTCGATAAAACCAAGTAAAGAGCATTCAACAGAACTTACTGTCAGAACATTTCAAAAATGAAACTTAATCGATAGCTTCAGTAAGCATTTAATCGAAATGTGGCCGACTAAAAACTTAAAAGAGCCCAGGAATCATTCAATATCATGTTCACAGCATTTATTAAATACAAGATACTTGTAGAGTGATAAAAGAAGGAATTGGAATAAATGGTTCGAAACGTCGAGGTCTAGCATAGTTTTCCATAAAACGCACTTCATTACGAAACTGTCGAAATCTCTATTTATAGCATTATCGATAAGGTCTTCCTAAACCCTATCTCCTA